GAAAATTCGTTCGCACCAATTTAAAGATCCATAATGCATCTTTCGTGGGGCATTTACAATGTTTTTGTTTGAAAGAGGATACATGCTCTTCACAAAAGTATCTTAGCCGCTTTTTATCGAGCATGCTTTGCGATAGAAACCGCAGAAGATATCACCCAAACTTGATTTCATTTGTAAGGCCGTTAAAAATCTAAAAATTGCACTAAATATCAGAAAAATTGATATTATAAGTTTTATAATCTGCTCTTTCCATCTCCTCCGTAAAAATTGTCGCATTTGATTTCTGTGAAAAGTTATGATGAGAAAATGCCAAAAAAAACTAATTCGCCTTTTGTACTGCTTGCTTAAAAATCATAAATTTTCGAAAATAAGCTCAATCACCACGATTTTTGCTTAGGGGAAAAAGCACGTTATAGAACCTTTGATACTAACCGCTCCAATTTTTACTACAGTTTCAGATTTCTAGCAACTCTTTACACGGAAAAATCAAAATCTGAGTGATTTTCTTTTACGGCTTTTATCTTTGAAGTGCCTTCTCAATACAAAGCGGCTAAGATAATTTTCTGAAGAGCATGATTTTTTCTTGTAATCAAAAATAAACCGTGTAAATCGATTGAGAAAGAAGCAAGTTCTGAATTTTTGCAATCCTGCGAACAATTTTTGGGTTAACCTAATACATACGGGGTGTCCCAAGGGTAAGCACACACTATTCAATTGTTAACAACTCTGTTCTCACATAGTCTCTGTCTGGCTTCACGCACAGTTTAGTAGAGCAGGCTTCAATTTAGAATACAGTATAAGAACTCCCACCGCCCTTTGTCACTGAAGGATTACGGTAGGAACTTCCAGCGTACCACGTCAAAGGTAGGCGGTTCGCGAGAAAATTCCAAGTCAAGTTATGTAACAGTGTTTTCAAACATGCTGGTTTCATTGAACAACTTTTACAAGTTTTTTGTGCTTTCAAAATGGTTCAAGCACACTGTTAGAAAAATAGAAAAAATCACAAAAAAAACGCTGTTGCGCCTTACTTGGCATAACTTATAAAAGAAGCCTTACCGGAAATGCAAATCCTGTATTCATTGTCAGCGACTCACTCTAGCCAGATGATAACATTTTTTGGCTCATTGAGTTCCAATTCATGGGCAATATGTGACATTGTCGGAGCAAAATCCTTTTCAAAGTCTCTACCTTAATCCTACGGTAATAAAGAGCATTGGATAAGATAAGCCGCATGCTGTAAATCTGGTACTTGATGCTAAGCGAAAGTCTTCTTGGAAAGAGACCTATCTTATATATAAAGCTGAATGTCTGTTTGTCTGTCTGTCTGTATGTCTGTCTGTCTGTACGTATGTTCCGAATAGAAAATTCCATTTTTGAACCGATCGGGACCAAACTTAGCACACATACACTTCGGGCCCCGGCGGGTGTCATAGGCTACTTTTCGTCATCGATCGATATCGATTTTATTGATTTTTTGCAAAATTTGAGCTACGGGGCTGGGAATTGGCACAGGAGGGTAATCGAGCATGCTAATCACCCCCGTGGGGGTGATCAGCATGCTCGATTGCACCCCTCTGCCAAATTCCAACCCCCTAGCTCAAATTTTGCAAAAAATCGATAAAATCGACATCGATCGATAACGAGTGGACTGTGACACCCGCCGGGGCCCGAAGTGTATGTGTGCCAAGTTTGGTCCGGATCGGTTAAGAAATGGAATTTTCTATTCGGAACATACGGCGGAGCCGGGTAAGCCAGCTAGTTAACGATAAAAAAACGTGTACTTACTTTTGAAACGTTGAATTTTGGTTGCAACACTGCTCTCGTTCCTCCTTGTTAGAATCCAAAGTAGCAATGTCACCGCCGGTCTTCGAGGAAAGAAGCGCGCTGTTTTGAAATGAACTACGCAGCTGGCGAAGCAGGTCAAGGGGTCGTAAAATTCGGAAGTGGCAAAGGCAAGTTGTTTTTGCACCTCAGCATACATGAAAAATACCTCATTATGGATATTCTATTTTTGACATGTCAAAAACTGCTTAAAACAAAGGAAAATCTATCACTTAGGGTTTATTTTCCGGCACCGAATACTTCTTCTCCCCCCCCTTCTTCGCTGATATGAGGATTGCGAAATCATTCATTTCGTTGAAATTATCTAATGAATCAAATTATTTTATACACGATAATATTGTGTACAGTCACAGTTTGTAACAAAAATATTCCGTTTCCTATTCAGCTTGTTTTGTTAATGTGTATTCCAAAAACTCTTCTATTGCTTTTCTGAATAATGTAGATATAAAAAAATTGGGCTGGTCTGGCAGATTTCCACCTCGGCCCGTAGTGGACCCCGGAAATGCGTCGTAATGTAAAGAAAACAAAGTCATGACGTGTCCGACTGAAGTACATGCTGCTCACGACCATGTTTTGGTGGCCGTGAAACTTGCACGTACGCGCGATCAAACCCTTCCATGATTCTCTACAGCGCGCACAGTCACGCTCTACTGGTATCTATTCGATAATGAGAAAGCAAGTTATTTAGGTAAGCAAAGATGCGACCGACAGAACAATTGCTTGCGACGTCTTCCGAGCAAATCGATAAGTAAATTTCGATATGTGTTAGCCTGTATGTAAGATGTAAAGGTATGCGCTGCTTCCACCGTGACCACCAACAAGGTGCATACTTAAAGTATTCCTACAAGCGTGGCGCAGCGTCGACGCCAAGCTAACGGCGGCAGGTACGAGTACCATGTAAGCTTACCTTTTGCAAGTCCCTGGCTATTTGGTTTTTAGGTAAACGAACATAATTCACTATTTTCTTTCTGGTGGTAGGGAAAAATGTCAATGCAAAGCATAAAATATTGACAATATCCGATACAACAAGGAATAAAAAATAAAATAATTACTGCAAACATGAGTGTTACAGTATGCGGCTTATCCACCGCTCTTTGTTCCATTAGCCATAACGCCAGACGGTTCCCTTCTTTAAATCATACGGATACGCTGGGCGCACAGTTAATGAACAGCAAATTAGCAAATATGAGTTATAAAAGGTGCTAAGATGGAAGAACTAAGGAAACTGAGACATGCAGAAAACATTTGGTGCGCAAATGAGTTGCGACGTGAGAATAAAAAGTAAAAAATTGCTCAAGCACGATGAGATACGATAAGTAGAATTCTGATATAATTTGTAATCAAAATAAGCTCACCTTCCAAATTACAAGGAATATAGCAGCAGAAAATGCTCAGAAGACAGAAAAAGTCGCTCAGCGCGTTGACGTTTGGGCGCTTATCAGCTGTTTATATCGATTACATTTGGCGCGCGTTGAACCTAGTGGAGTGTGCCTACGGTCCTTGCGTACAGGACGAACACTGCGTACTCGAAGCCTAACCGGTTGCACCTAGAGCCCGGCACGCGTTAATTAGAGCATTTTTGGAAACGAAGTCCCCCATTACTTCGAGAAAATTTACGAAGTTCCTCTTGACCTAAAAATCAGTAAGGAAACACTTATGCAACCAGAATAACAATAAAAAGGTGAAAAAGCGGATTTTGAGGTATCTAATATAACAAAAAAGCAAGATGAAAACATTCCGAGTTAATTAAAGGCTTAGTGTTCAGAATGTTGAAAACCTCTTAGGCCAACCAAATCTGCGGCATCAACATCTGGCGACGCATTTATCGACACATAGTTCAAAAGACACCGCGATTGGAGCGCGATATCTATCAACGCGTAGATTTACACTACTTTTGGCTTCAAAAAGAGAAGAAGCAATGGTTTGATTTGCTCTCTTCACTTTATGATAGATTTTTTAATCGTTCTAATCGTCCAAATAAAAAAGATCCAAAACTTAGGTGAACTCTCTGATATTTATGCTCCGAACCAACCCAGGTGGTTTGATGTTGGTCTAGAAGCCAACAAATTCGGGAACACATGTTGTATTATATTAGGACACACGGATATTGGGACACATAAGCTTTTGGAACTTTTTACATAACATAGTTTAGAGCAATATTGTACACACATAGCCAAAATTCGGAGCTATGTGATTCTCTGTGCGCTGTAAACGAGCCATTTCTTGTTTGAGCCTTGCGTTTGAAACTTGCTAAAAAACATGTTCAACTCGCAAAATCTGACATGTTCGTCGCATTTTATGCGGTGCCTCAGGACCTTATGAAATGATATCCTCTTTGCTTCTAACTTCAAAAACGATGTCCAGTTTGACCCCAACTATCTATTCCGGGCCCTGGTTGCTCCTTCCTGCGTCTCCACGTTGGGGGCTAAATTTTTCTTTGCCACTCAAGTGACGACGTTCACGACGTACTTGTTCTCTATGCACGAGTAGGAGCACGTCCTGCATTTATGACGTCCCGCGATTTCATCGCGCGGTGTAATAAGAGATAGCCGTTCGACGTATCGCGGCCGAAAGACCGTGCTGAGTGCGAGCGATGTTTTGAACGCCCGACCATACGACGGGGGGATTACTGCTTTCTCCAAACTCTCCAACTCTCGCCAAAACTCTCCAGTATTCTCTAGATGAGGAATCCATTTGCTGTATAATCTGCCATGGGCTTTGCAGCCGGATGTCGCAGCTGGCTGCGAAATCAGGCGGCTGTATAAAGCCCCAATATCTGTAGTCACGACATTCTTGATCTGATATGCTTAATGAAGTATAAAACAAGAATTTCGAAAGAAATCTGGAGCGGAAGCCGATTATATCATACAGGGTGCACCGTATGCAGGCAGAGGCACTTCATACGAAGCAGTGTACTAGCTTCGCTGGTGGATTTGTGGCGCACAGTGCTGACATTGTGCTAATTAGAGGCTGGAGGGATTGAGCAGACGCCGACTGTTTCTCAGCAAGGTACGGTCTATGGAAGCTGCGATACGGTGCGAATCTTTCTTAAGCAAATTCCAGCTTTTATCTTGAACTAAATGGGTTGCACTGTACGTCTACTCACGATTCAAAATTGAAGCATTCTTTGTTTTGCAGCCTTACAATGAATATTTCAGGTTTGGGCAGCAGGCATAAAATTGATCTATATTGTATGCACAGATAGATATAAGACCGATCGTGATTTTGCGTCGAGAGTGGCTCATATAGCTCGAGGAATTGAAAATGCAATACCTGTTGAACACTATACGGTAAGTATTTGAATAGTTTCTTACCACAAATAGCTGTAGAAAATTCCTGAAAACCATCCCAGCTTTTATCACAATCTTGACGTTTCATTACTTGAAGCGAACGATAAGTTAAAGACCGTTGGATGGTATTATAATTAGGTTGAAGCAAAAGTAATAAGCGCTGCCTGTGCGACAGCCCACTGTGAACATTAAAGGCAGTGTCCGGGCGAAAAGTCGGTTTTGAGATTTTGTACTCAACCGGGTCTAATCCCAATGTTGAATCCGAAAATCCACATTGAACAGCGCGAGAATGGCGAAAAAGGGCTCTAATATCAGCAAGTGGGCGGATCCTCCTCACTGTGAATTCACACTCCCAACTTATCAATTCCGCTAGCCGGCCCCACATCGCCACCGGCCAGGTGCGAACTCGTGACTTGAGATCGTGTGGCGAAAATCTGAAAATTGGCAATCCTGGGTAGCGTTTAGAAACATAGATTATATGATTTTATCCCCCGAAGACTTTAGAAACCGGAAACAAAAACACCCATTAGAAAGAGGAGAGAAACTGCAACGAGTAGCTCCCGATCTGCTCTCCCTTTGACGTTCTACGAGTTTTACTTGACTTAGTAAAAGTGGCACATCAGTAAAACTTCCATTAAAAATATGACGAGTTATGGAAAGCAAAAAAATAATTCTTTTACATCCTGTAGGGTTTGCTCCATACATGTGCTACTCGGACTCCTTTGGAGGATTGATATGAATGTTTAAAAAATAAACAGACTTTTCAAAAAGCATGGGTTGCAAATTTATTCCGAGAGCTTATTGACTGTGCTGCAACGAGTTTATAAATTAGTAAGGGGTTGAAATTCTGCATCGAAAGCTATCAAGATCTACAAATCTCTGTTTCATAAAATGTAGTGTTTATTTGGAAAATGCGAGATTATTTTGAGAAGGATCTGCTTATATTGTAAAATTAGGGCTGTTTGTAGGATTTTTCTAAGCGAGCCCAATTTCTGAAGCACTCAATGTTTTTTGAATTTTTACTTCCAATTTTACATGAATTAAGACATACGCGGATATTAGGAAACTCGTTTACGTTTAGAGCTTGATTTTTGCCTTATTGATTATTCCCAGGCACCTTTTTATTAGGTTGTCCCGAAAGTTTTGTCGGTTTTTTCAAACCACTATAAAACCATGCACAATAAACACCTCAGTGAGTTTCAACACGCATTCGATGCAGCTTTTTCTTCTCTTTCTTATGGATACATTCTCGAGCCACAATCTTGTATGCTCTTTTCGATATTTGATAAAATCCTCCATCCGCCAATTTTATCTGCTCAAAGTTCGGCTAATTTTCAAAAATTTCAGTTCAAAGTTTCTAAATAGGTTAAGTGTGATTCTAATAGAGCACGGACTGCAAGGTTATATTTTCAGTTTCTCCTAAACTGCTGTTTTTGGCTTGAAAAAAATTATTTCTTAAGAGGTCTCGATTTTTGGCAAAGTCATGAAACACGCAACTGCAGCAAATACACGGAAGTTTTCAAAGTTTCTGCGAATAAAATGATTCTTATTGAACATTATTTATGCAACATGACCAAGTTTATTTGCCTTGAAAAAGCAGCTTTTTGGAATTTTCGGTACTTTTACGTGGTAAACGTCATCAAAAAGTCTCGGTTTTTATCAAATAATCAATCATAACGGACTTGGTAAACGTGGCCCACGTAATCTAAAATGGATAAAATGTAGCCAAAGGTTTGCTCTGCATAACAGTTACCAGCGCTCTTTGAAAACACCAGGATAAAAAATTATCCAGGAAACATTTGGCGTTACTGGTGAGCTGCTCAAAAAGCCATGGCGATAACATTGCAAAGACAGTATAGATTAAAGAGAAAATGTAGCTGTATGAAAAAGGATAAAAATCTGAATCAAATGGTACCTAGCTTGCCCATGGATCGGTGTTTTGTGAGTTTCAGTGATCGAAACCTAAAATATATTCAAACTGCGGCTGTAGCGAGGACTTGATACAAGCTGAGACCAAGGAATTTTTGAAACAAAGTCTCTCTATCATTTTGATAGGTTCTACTTTATTTTCCGTAGACACTGGTTCGGAAAATTGCAATTGCGAACTTTCCATCCCTCTTTGACCCCTGGTGCGCTAAGTCCAGGACTGTGCTTGGAGGCCAAAAGAATGCTTTTGTGGTGTTTTCGGACTTGGAGATTGCGGAAGAGGCTGCAAAGCGATTCCCGCCAACTGAGGCTGATTGACTGATTGGCTGCCTGAGCCAATCAGCCAATCAGAAAATGGGTGGATTTACAGTCTCCTGCAGCCATTTGGTGATTGGCATCTTCTTTTTCCTTTAGCAGTCTTCAAGGCCGGTTTCAAGCGCAATTCTGGACGCAACGGATCCAGAAAATTAAGTATAAAAATCGCGTCACAGTTTTCCCGAACCACTGCCTTTGGGTAGAGCTAAAGCCAGCATGTTCTGAGATCGACTTACATTGAAAATAACGAGTACCATCAAAAAGCCAGATATATTACCACAGTTTTCCACCAGACAATGAAGGAATTTCATTTCTAGTACCCCTTTTCGCCAGGAAGCTCATGCTGCATAGCATATGAAAACTTATTGCAGTGTGATTACTATCATATCAGTTCAAAAACCATTAACTGATTTTATAAAGTTTAATTTTTTTCTTTCTTTTATTATATGCAATCTAGGTGCAACACTATAGAAAGAAGAAAATCAAATCAAAAATTCTATTCATTGCCTACATCCTACGGAGCTCTACTTGTCAGGCAGGAGGCTCAAGCATATACTCATCGAATCACAAACTCATACATACCAGTGCTGTATTTTTTGTCTCTGCTAGAAATCAAAGAAACGAAAACTTTTATACTTTCACAGAATAAAAACTATGCTGTTTTCGCATAAGTTATTGTATGCTTCAAAACTTTTAAGTACAACCGCAGGTTTCTAACTGTTTATATGCTCGACCCAGTATCGATCTAGCTCTTCTTACTCGGCATCGCATGCTAATGTTTCAATTTAGGTTTGAAAAAATAACCACGTCCGGCGCGCACCCCTGCGCGCAACACACCGAGTATCTTGTGATTAAGGGAAAAGGCTGGGTTCGAGAAGGTACGGAAGGCTTACATAATTGAGATATAGATAAGAGCGAGTGAAAAGGGTGAAGAACTCTGTGACTCCATTGACTTCGTTATCTCTTAGCCCCTCATTTGGCTCGCCATGTGGCTCGAGGCCACCTAATTGTTTGCTACGTATTTGATAAGCTTAAGTTCCTTTGGGTTTCTCATGAACTGTTCCAATTTCCTACCGAGCTTTTACATGCCAAAATTGGTCCATATAATTGCGAACTCTTCGTAAACATGCTATTTTTTGCGCGGCACATTTTTAAGTTCTCGAGTGTCCTTCGAGAGCATATTGTGGGCTCAAAATTGTTGTTTTCGCAGAGAATGGAACAGCTAAGGCAGTAGTGTACAGGTGGAACTTTTAAAATATGAAGAAATAGATGTAAGGGAAGAAAATGGGGAGGGTGGATATATCACGTATAAATTATGTGGCAACGATGGTGTGAAAAGGTTTATTTAAAGGCGAAAGATGGCCTCAGATCTCTGCTGGATTGATGGAAGTAAAGTTGATTAGCTCCTGAAAGAAGTTTTCGCAATTGATTAGTTGCTTAATAATAGTAGTAGTGGGAGTTTAATATTGCATTACTGATTTCTTAGCAGTTTTCCACTTATTCGGCAGCAAAAACATCTTGCTACCCAATATTGAAACATAAACGCTTTAGCCGTCCGTAGCCGTCTGTGCTCTGCTGCTGATACCAAAATTCACACGAAATTTTTAGTAAACTATATAAAGTTAACCAGCTTATTTCACGCCGCCAACGTTTTCCTGCAAATGTTCTCATTATCGCTAATGGTACCTACAAACCAAGGCATTTGACATAACAGGGACAGGGACAGGACAAGGACATTATCTTTACATTGACATTATCTTGAGTGGAACATTTCAAAAAGCGTACACCTGACTGTGTCTCAAAAATATCATTTACAAACGTAGTAAGTCGATTTGGTTTCAGAAATTGGACAAATCTATCTTCGACAATGTCTTGGAAGAGATTTGCAAGGAGGCGATGGCAGGTCTCTGAAGTATACTAAGGACAATCTATCATTAGCGTTTACACAGAACTGTACTACTAGATCGTCCTAATAAATTTTTCTTTTTTAAATGCTGCAAAACTACTGACAGACCGTTATATGTTGGAAACTGAATAATTTTATATCACCGCTAACATGGCGACCCCGGTCTGGTTCGTGCTGGGTGGCAGTATTTGGGAAGAAAGACCTTGCTGTAAATTCTAAATTGTGCAAACAGAAACTGGCCCTTTTTGGTTCCTCACAATTGTGCCTTGCGTGCCCTGCGTCTGCCTCCTTAGGAGCCTGGTAGCGTCCGGACAGATTCTCGGCTTTTTTTCCTTACTAGCGACCCTGCGGGTCCCTATAAGTGATCGAAGCACATGTTTAGAAAGTTTGTGCATCTCAATGACATCTTCCTGCATTTTATTTTACTTGAAAAAATTTTCGCCGAATCATTAAATTTGCTCCAAGGTAGACTCCTTATCGGGTGGAAGCATCTGGAAAAGTTTTCTGGACTGATACTCTACCCTGAACTTTGAGCTTATTTTGCGGGACTCGTCAATAATTCGCTTTTCTTCAAGTATAGGTGAGGTTTCCCCATGAAGACGTCTACAAAGCAGATTTTTGATGAGACTTTGGAAAATCTGTGGAATAAACGCATTTCCCGAAAAGGTTCCTCTCGCTCGAAAGCATGGCCTCCCTCAATGAGATCCTCACTCACACGCTTCGCTTTCAACAAGAAAGAACAGAATTTTCTTCTACGGATTTTGCGATACGGCGACACCAAGTCACCCCCGGTAGTGACCCCACTGAAAAGTCAGCCGCCATCGAACAACGAGACCCTGTTACTCTTAAGTTTTCCTTATACAAAATTTTTTTTGGCTTTTTAAATGCCCTTCAATCATCGATCATACTTTGCCATTTATGTACGAAAAAGTTACCCGCTATAATCCTTTATGGAAAGCGTTGGCTCCACCGGCCAGACCCAATCATCAAGCCCTCCTTCATACAAACTAGGAAGATCTTTCAAATGAACGCTCATCTCCACCAGCGAGACGCTGTTACTTGAATGCTTCACTTTCTTCAAAGAAAAGCAGATTTTTCTAAATAGGCGCTCGTTTCCAACCGCCTTTCCTACAGGATAATAGATGCTTTACCTAGCAGAAGCTCATTTTCACCAGCTCGCCAGCCAGACCCACTACTCAAGCGTATAACCCCAATTAAAAGCATTTTCAACAGGAGACCAAGTTACCGCTAGTGGGATTTCCTCATAAAAACACTTCTTCACCAGCGGAACCCAGTTATCTAAAAGCTTTCTCTTCCACACGGAAGACCATAACCTGAGTAAAAGCTTTCCTCCACAACGAGACCCAGTAGTTCAAGCGCTCGATTTTCCTATGTGGAAACCCATCTCCACTAGCGAAACCCAGTTACCCAAAACGTTGAATTTCCACAAGTGAACCCTTTCCTCCACCAGCAAGAAACAGTCATTCAAGCGTTGGATTTACCCAAGTGAAAGCTCATGTCCACCAGCGAGACCCAGTTACCCAAAGCGCCGCTTTCCTCCACCAACGAGACCCAATCATTCAAGCGTTGGATTTTCCTAGATGGAAGCTCATCTTCACCAGCGAGACCCAGTCATTCAAGCGTTGATTTTCCCAGATGGAAGCTCATCTCCACCAGCGAGACCCAGTCACCCAACGCATTGAATCCCCAAGTAAACGCTTTCCTCCACCATCGAGAGCACTTACTGAAGCGTTGGATTTTCCCAAGTGGAAGCTCATCGCCATCAGCGAGACCCAGTTACCCAAAGCGTTGAATTTTGGAGCAAACGCTTTCCTCCACCAGCGAGACCCAATTACCCAAAGCGTTGGATCCAGTAAACGCTTTCTTCCACCAGCGAGACTCAGTTATTTGAGCGTTGGATTTTCCCAGATGAAAGCTCATCTCCACCAGCGAGACCCGTTACCCAAAGCATTGAGTTTGCCGAGTGAACTTTCCTCCACCATCGAGAGCACTTACTGAGGCGTTGGATAGTTACCCGAAGCGCCACTTTCCTCCACCAACGAAACTTAGGGCCGCATGCACTAACCTCCCCGCTGGGGAGGGGATCGCAGCTCAAAAGAAAGCTTATTTCGAAACTCCAGATACCTGGATTTCACGTCGTGTACCTATCCGTAAGTATTCCTACTACCCTTCACTATGAACATGTTGAACAGGAGCGAGAAGCTGTACGAACCGCATTTTCCAGCTTTTGTATGATCTCTGATGATCACCGGTGCTTTTCTTTATAGTCATTTTTCTTTCTCCGAAGTTAACGAAAACCTTCCAAATTTGTACTGAACATCTAACACAACAGTGCTAAGCATGTTGCTGATGAGAACAAATGAGTTTTTGAAAAGTCGATTTTTCGGTAAACCTCAAATTTTGACCTGTGGATCATCGAAAATTTCATGGCTTCAAAACATCATTTGTTCTTATCAGCAACATGCTTAGCACTGTCGGGTTAGATGATCTGCACAACTTTGGAGGTTTTTCGTTAACTTCGGAGAAAAAATAATGACTTTAAAGAAAAGCGCCGGGGATCATCAGGGATCATACAAAAGCTGGAAAATGCGGTTCGTACAGCTTCTCGCTCCTGTTCAACATGTTCATAGTAAAGAGTAGTAGGAATACTTACGGATAGGTACACAACGTGAAATCCAGGTATCTGGAGTTTCGAAATATAAAGCTTTCTTTTGAGCTGCGATCCCCTCCGGGCAAAAAGTCGATTTTGAAATTTTGTGCTTATACGGGCCTATTCACTATGCTGAATCCGAAAATCCATATTGGAAAGCGCGAAAACGGCAAAGAAGAGCTCTAACGCAGGGGGAAATCGAAAGTGGGCGGATCCTCCCCAGTGTATTTCGCAGTCCCAGCTTCTGAAGCGATCTTCCCTATTCCGCTAGCCGTTCTAACATCGCTACCGGCCAAGTGCGAATGATTGACTTGAAACCGGAAGCGAGAAGATCGCTCCGGACGTACAAGGGCTAGAAGGAGCGTGAGAAGATGCGGAGTACTGCGGAAAATTTGTGTGGGAAAGGTTGTAACAAGCTTTTTTTGAAAATTTTCCATTAGCAAAAAGTGGACAGATGAATCGTTTGCAGCACACAGATAGCAGTTTGGCTCCACACATGGTGTGTGTATGCGCAATAGGAGGTTGGAACAAGATTTGTACATAAAAGTAGCCCAGCTTTATCCCAAATTAGTAATAGTACACGTAATGCTAGTCTAACGGTGGCAAACTTTTAGTTCACATAAGTTCTTGAAAATTCTTACATAAATCTGTTCTACACCTGAGTTTTGCGTATATTACTCAGACAATTCAGCGGAACTTTCGCAGGACAAGCACAAGACAAATTTGCAGCGGTTTCGCAGGATTTTGTTTACTATTGCAAAGTGAAAACGTTGAAAATGGGAACTTCCGCAGGGTTTTCACGTCAGACCGGTTGAAAACGGGAACTTCAGCAGACCTTTTTACAAAGGGTTGCGGAACTTCCGAAAAATACCGGCGGTTCCTCAGCACTTTGACTTGCCAGTACTTCCGCATGGTTTTAAACGTGCTGTCTCCTATGATGTTTCTCGCCAACAACTAGAGTGCATTATCGAACATGTCAGCCGTGATGGAGAGAATAGTAGGTGAGTCTCACAGTCAATAAAGTAAGAAATCTCGCCTAAGTCTTCTCTTTTGTGTTGTGGTTCGCATTCTTCGGAACTTCCGCAGCACATTTGGTAAGGTTTAGGTTTACGAAACTTCCGCAGGTGACCCGGCGAAACTTCTCCAAACGTTTTGCGGAAGTTCCAATCAGTTGTCTGAGTAGGTCATCCCCAAAAGTTTCTTAGTATCGTTATTTGCCATCTAAACAGACCATTCGAAGTATTCTTAAACCAAAAATCGCAAATGCAACCGGGGTCAAGCGTGGGATGTGGCACGCCATATTTGGGGGTCGTAGAGGGGTCAGGAAGAGAGGGGAGGGGCGTTATCAAGGTGATAGTGATGTTAGCGACATGATGTCAGTCAACAATGTCTGATAGGCCCATTGTGCAAGATACCAGCACTAATGTTTTGGCCTACCATGTACACGCAGTGCAAGCATATCAAAAGAATCCTGAAAGCATAAAAGCATCATTTTCGTGATTAGCATGTTAAATAACCCCCTATGAGCCAGTCTCTCAGCGAATTTTGAGGTTTCCAAATATTGGGACACTCAAGTGAGGTGGTTATATTCGAACATGCTAACTTTGCCTCAAAGTGAGTAAACTTCTTCTTTTTGCACTCGTTACAAGGTACCACCGCTATTTTGCTTGCATTAGGAAACCTACTTCAAAGGCGTGGCTCGGCAAATCCTCGACCTGTGGTTTTTTCGCTTAGCTGGGGTAATTCGACGCGCTGGTTCCTAAAATGCACTTCTGAAAGCGCGGAAATGGCGTAAACCAGCATTTCCCAAGGCATCTCATTTTGAATTTGGACGAGTGGACCAGTCCCCGCCATGGTTAGAGACATAGAGTCGTTTCAGGACCCCCAAGTCTATAGCATTGTGGCATGCCGACCCTGACGGTGGTAAGAGACCGTAAGCTCGTCCGAGTGCGTGTAAGAGTAGCTTGCGCGCACGGGTTTAGGGGCAGTTTTCTAGGCAGAGGAAGCATGTAGCGCGCTCGGAGCTGCTATGTTCTAATGTATGGGATGCGAGTAACCTTCCATATCAACACGAGATGTCTGGCTTTGCCGAGCCACTGCCTTTAACCAACCTCCAAACTCTGGAATTATGAGCAAGCCAAAATCTCGTTTGTCCCATTTTTCGTTTTTTATTTCTCAGACTAGAAAAGACCAATCACGTCAAATCATGTGAAAGTTACAAGGATTAGATTACCGAATATACTTGTTCCTGCAACCTTCCCTCGCGTTTCACGTAGTAGCGCAGACTCAGCATGTTACCGTAATCCGATATTTTCGCATGTTTTCCATTTGCTTAGCTAAGGAAAAACGACCACATCTTTCCCTGGGAGAGAC